TCTCTCTCTCTCTCTCTCTCTCTCTCTCTCTCTCTCTCTCTCTCTCTCTCTCTCTCTCTCTCTCTGAGACAGGTTCTTGCTAACTTGTTAAATTGCCCAGGCGCTTCCCAGCCTCCACCTCCCAGAAGCCTGAGATTCCAAGCATGCACCTCCACGCCCGTTTAATACCCAGGGTTTTGGGGCATGGCACTAGCCTTAGAGTCACTCTCTGCTACTGAATTCTGAAGGAGAAAGCAGCTATTCAGTGGGAGTCCCGTTACTCAAGCCTTTCTTCCCATAGAAGGCTGGGAATCCTCCCAAAGTCCCCTGGTGCTGGCAAGGGCCACCCAGGAAGGCCTTCAACAAGCGGCAGTTGGGCCTGCTAGGCTAATTCTTGCCACACAGTTCCTATATTTTGTATTCACTTGAAAATTTTCTAGTGTTTGCACTCTAAACTTTCATTGTCCAATATGGCAGCCACTGGCCTTGTGTGGAGAGTCAACACTTGAAATGCAACTTGCCGGCATGCAGCTGGGCTGGATTCCAAAGACATAGCAAGGGGCAGAATGTGGGGTCCTTCTGCAGTCTCTTGGATCATCAGTCACATGTAGAAATAATATTTGGGAGAAATAAAATATTTTTATTTTATTTTTACCTGCTACTTTTTTTTTTTTTTTTGTATTTCTTTTTTGGCTACTAGACAGTTTATTTTTTTATTACAGAATTTAAATTTTTTTTCATAGAATTCTTGTTTATTTTTATGCATTTATTTTTAAAGTATAATAAAAGCATGGGCTGGTGAGATAGCTCATTAGTCTAAAGCGCCTGTTTAGGCAAGCTTAGGCAAAATGCAGGGACTGCAGTCCGATCCCCAGCACCACATTCCGTACCACCTCCACCACCAGCGCAAGCTGAGTGGGCCACAAAAAAAAAAAAAAAAAAAAAAAACAAATGAATTTTTTGAAATATTTCATTTTTTTGCTTTTTAAAAACAATAAGAAATAAAAAAAAAATTAGAAATACTACAGAATTTCACTAAACAACATAATAGGAATTCAACAATGGTTGTTATAGTGCATAATGTTGTCTTCAAATTAGTTGTTCAGGTTACCAGATATAAGCATACAAAAATTTTTAAAACGTTATAAAAAATTTAAAAGAAGAAGGGCTGGCCAAATAGTTCAGCAGACTGAAGCGCCTGTGAGCAGGTGTAGGGCCCGGGGGTTCGATCCCCGGGCCTGCTGTGCCGGCCCCGCCCCCGCGGCGCGCTGAGATGGCAATTGAGACTGGGCATGGTGGTGCACGCCTGCAATCCCAGCTCTGAGGAGGCTGTAAATAAATAGGCAGATTACTGTGAGTCCGATCTAGTAGTGAGACCCTGAATACCCTGTAGACCCTTCCCTAAAATAATAAAGAATAAATAAAAACAAAAGAAGAAAAAAATTTAAGCATTAACTGCTTCTTTCAGTAGACCAGCAGAAAGCAGCAATAGAATTATTCAAGCTATCCTGTATCTAGAAAGTTTAAATTACGTATATGGCTTGTGTCGTGTTTCGGTTGGTCAGAGCTTCTCCAGAGCAAGAGTTCTATGGGATACATTGCTTATTTTTATAAATAAAGTTTTATTGAAGTAAAACCATTTACATTAATTTTCAGGCTGCTTTCATGCTACTGTAGCAGAAGCACATAGTTGTAGCTGAGATGGTACATCTCACAAAGCCAAAAATATTTGCCATCTAGTACTACTTCGCAGAATGTTTAGCAAGGCTTATAACAGTGTTTTTCAGGGCTGCTTAGGGAACATGTCGAGATCATTCCAGCATCCATTCAGCCTGAGTTTTCTTGGTACTGTAGGATGCCCTGGAGCCCTCTGAATGCCCACTTGCTCTTTCTACTCTTATCAGGTTTACGTGCGGAGGGGCTACATCGCCTATGAGCTGAACAGCCTGCAGCACCGGGAGCTCCCAGATGGCACCTGCGTGGTTGAGTTCCAGTTCATGCTGCCCTCTTCCCATCCAAACCGGTATGTAATGGTACCCACCTGGTTTCTTTGCTCACAGTAATCTTGTCTCTGAGGGACCCAGCAGGAGTGTCTGGGCGTGCTGCTCAGAAGCCCCTTCCTCGCTGTGGACTTCCCTACGGCAGCATGTCGTCATGTATAAAGCAGAGAAAATCCATGCCCATCTCCTAGTCTAGTGTGTAGCCCAATGTCATGTGTGTCTTTTCAAATTAAATGAGGTGGGTGTGGTGGGTGCATTCCTATAACCCTAGCAGAGGCGGGAGGCTAAGGCAGGAGGATTGCAAGTTCCAGCCAAACTTCAGCACCTTAGCAACTTTTTTTTTTTTAATTATTTATTTATTTGTGTGTGTGTGTGTGTGTGTGGCCAGCTCAGCCCACCAGGGGGCGGGGCTGGCTGGCATGTGGTGCTGGGGGATTGAACTGCGGTCCCTGTGCTTTGCTAAGCTTGTTCTAAGTAGGTGCTTTAGACCACTGAGCCATCTCACCAGCCCAGCACCTTAGCAACTTAACAAGACTATGTCTAGGGGCCGGGGAGATGGCTCAGTGGAATAAGTGCTTCCCTGGCAAGCGCAAGGGTCTGAGTTCAATCCCTATTTGAGCCTACCCTGGGCAATTTAACAACCTAGCAAGACTATGTCTCAAAAATAAAAAAGCAAAAATAAAAGGAAGGGATATAGCTCAATGTGAAGACCCTGAGTTCATTCCCAAATGCTGCAGAATAAACAAACAAAATAAATAAAATGAAATAAGAAATTTAACCACTCAGCTATACCTGCATTTACGATGTGATGGGGCTCATGGCTGCCATCTTGGATAGTGACGTTCTAGAACATTCCATCATCCTAGAAAGTTCTAGTGTTCCAACAGTGATCTAGATCACTGTAAAGAGTAAATGAGATGAGGCACATAAAGCATTTAGATGGTTCCAGTACAAAGAAAGTTATGGGTGACAACAATTGATGATGATCATGCCTAAAAGTGTCATTACTACTGTGCGATGGCATGTTGGTGGCCAGAACTGTTAGTGCTTATGTGTTCCTGTTGCACCAATTCTGGCTGGTTGGTCAACAGTGTGTTCTCATCTCTATTTTACAGATGAAGGCCTTGGGCCCTTCACTAAACAAAGGCTGAGCTATGCATTTATGGGAAAGGGTAGAAGCCCATGTCCTGCTCTTGCTTGAGTTTTTCCCATGGTCCTTGAGTCCAGGGTGCTTGGGCGCCAGGGACAAGAGCACACGTGTCAGTCTGCCCGTGTGCATTGGAGCCTGTTTTCCAAAGGCTGGAGCTCAATGAGCTCCCTTGTACCCTCACCTGAGGTCGTCGTGTCTGCAGCCATAGCTCGCAGTCTTTGTTTAACCCATCTTATTTTAGGACATGTTGCCCCCTTCTGGTCAGGTGGAGAGTGATCCCTTCCATAAAGTAATTGTGTCTCCCTGGGACCCAAAGAGTTCCCTTTCGCTCTTTTCCAATTCTCGGGTTCCTGTTTCTGGTTCTTGTGGGGTTTCCCAATGACCTTGCTTGTGGCTACAGTGGTGTCAGATCATGACTTGGTGAGTCCACAGATCCAATCTGATATCCCTGCGGGCTGCAGGGATCATGCTGTCCTGAAGCAGGGATTTTCCTGGCCTCTTGAGATTTTAAAAAATAAGTTCCTCTTCCCATTGATTTTTTTTTTTTTTTTTAAGAAAGCATTATGGATGCAGAAACGAGGGGCTTCCCTGTGAGGCACTTCCTTCTGTGTTCATTGTTTATTTTACATTCTTATTTCTTAAGAAGTGATTGGGATGTTTTGCCCAGTTGGGAGAAAAGTCTTGTACTGCTTCTAGCCTGGGATCACTTTGGGGTTAGCAGGAGATGTGGTGTAGACATGGTGAAATTGTGTGCCCCTGAGGAGGAGGAGTTCTGTCTGCTAGTTTCGCTGACTCAGCAGTGTAGCCCTGCTAGAAAGGCAGGGCGGTGCTACCAGGGGTTCTGCACCATATGATGCTTCATAGGAAGGGCCTGCATTATACTCAGGTTATTTCTGTGAGCCCAGCATGGGAAATACCGTGCTGTTTGAATCCAGAGATAATGCTGAGGTCCATGGAGGGATCCCTGACACAGGTTGGAGGTCCTCTTTGTTGATGTGGCCTCTGAAACCTGGCTTGTGGCTGACCAAGCACAGACTTTTGAGGCTTCTGGGAAGGAGCAGGAGTGAAGAACCTGCCCACAAGGGCCTCTGCTACCACCTGTGTCTGTAGAGCCAGGTACATAGTAAACTGGGTCATGGAGATCCTTAGAGGCCAGAGAGGAGCTTGGCAGGGCTCCCCTGTGGATCTGGGTACCCACCTGCTCTAGACTCCCAAGGCATTCTGAGCAGGGTGGGCAGGAGTTGGGCTCATGGCTCAGGGGACTTCAGTTTTAGCCTACCTGCTGTTGCCCTGAAGGACAGCGGCCATCAGGCCCAGGCATGTCTGTGTGATTCTGTGTGTGTGTGTGTGTGTGTGTGTGTGTGTGTGTGTGTGTGTGTTCTCCAACAGAAGCAGGAAATCTAGACTTTGTTGTTTTTTTGAGAAAAAAACCATGAAAGGGGCTGGGGAGATAGATAGCTTAGTAGAATAAGTGCTTGCCTGGCAAATGCAAGGTCCTGAGTTCAATTCCCAGTACCACAAAAAAAAAAAACCCAAATCCCTTAACTTTTCAAGGCAAGTAGCTAACTCACGTGTTTAGAGCACTATATGAAGCAGTCAGTCTGAATTCAGCAGCACTGAGTGTGGCTCTCTACCTCTGGGCATAGTTATATGGAGAAGGGGACCTGGATCACGATTCCAGAGGCACTGAACAGGAGCCCATGCAGCTGTCTTGTGGGTCCCCAGGAACCTCTGGGTTTGATGATTGGCTAACAGAACTCTCCCTGTTCTTAATGTATAGTGATGTGGATGGCTCTGGCGTATTACACAATGAGGATCCAAAGCAGGGTTAGCAAAGGCAGAGGGCCCATGGGTGAAGCCGAGGGGAGAGAAGGCGTAAGCTCCCAGCCAGCTCCTAGGGAACGGATACTGGACACATGAATTCCCCCAGCAATGTGTGTGACAGAGCATTTCAGTGGTCGCTGCTGGCTTGTTAGGAACCAGCGCCTGGGCTTTTTATGGACAGTTGATGACATGGGTATCTCTGCCTAGCTCCAAGGTGCCAAGCCGCAGGGAAAGCAGGTGCTCAGTGTAAATCATGCTGTTTACACAGACAGCCTAGGAAGGGTGAACCACCCTTACCATTGAGGGAAGAGTTGGACCTTGCCCCAGATTCAGGCTCCTGAATGCCAGCCAGAAGCCAACCTTGCAAACAGGTCCCCTTCCTACAAGGAAAAGCTCAGGCCTCTATGTTGACACTTTTGTGTCATCAGATCACTCTCCTCCATCTGATTCCAGGGCCTGGGCCTCAAATCCTTGGGTGACCTGTTGGAGGTGCTCCTGGTGAGCCTCTAGGCCCGGGAGCAGTGGGCATCTCGACTTCAACAGGCTGCCGATTTTCTGCCCAGAGGGGTGTGCTGAAGGGTGAGCCAGAGGAGTGTCTGCAGAGCTGAGCCTGCCCCCTCTCCAGCTGCCCAGGGCAGGGCCATTCGTTGCAGGGAGTGTTCGTTCTGCATGGCTCTGTTAACTACTTTGGAGTTTACTGGGGAACAGGCTGGACCTGGATTTGAGCGTATAGTGGTCCCTCACTTATCACAAAAGTCATGTTCCAGACACCCTCGAGACAAGTGCAAATCAGTGAGAAGTTGTGACATTATATTTATTTTAGTATTTATATATATTTTAAGGTTGTATAAACCCTTCCCACACTCTTATAAGCCTTTCCCACACTTTTAAAAATACTTCTAATGTTAACTGTTTTCTAAGCTTGTAAACCTATGCAGTTTTAACAACATATGTGTATGTATGGTACTGCAAAGTCCTGCAATATAGCAAAAAATCCATGATAAATAATATAGATTAGTATTTTTTGAAAACCTGCAAAACAGTAAGTCCACAAAGGTTGAACTGTGAAACAGCGAGGGACTTCTGTCCACAGTTTATTCAGTCAGTTGTTCATTCGTTTGTTTGTTCTCTTGGGCTCATACTGGACATCAGGCTCTGGGGACTCCGATGAGACTCGACCCCTGATGCCAACCTTAATCCCCCCCACTGGTCCCACTTTAGCCTCACACTGGAGGATTGCTGTGGCTCCCAGAAATGTCCAGCTGCTCCCCAAAGCAGCGGCTCTGAGAGCTGAGGGTGCAGACAGCTGCCTAATCCTCCCCTTGCTGTCACTGTGCAGGATGACAGTGCCCGTCAGTGTCACCAACCCTGACCTGCTGAGGCACAGCACGGAGCTCTTCATGGACAGCGGCTTCTCCCCACTGTGCCAGCGGATGGGGGCCATGGTCGCCTTCAGGAGATTTGAAGACTTCACCAGGTACAGCGTGGCCAGGTCTCTCAAACACCCAAACAGGGGTCTTCCTCTGACCTCACCCATTTATTGACACTTTGGGAAAGAGTTCAAAATAACAACCAAAGCTGGGTGCTGTGGTGGAGGCCTGTAATTCCAGCTACTTAGGAGGCTGAGGCAGGAGGCTCACAAGTTCTAGCCCAGGTTTAGCAACCAAGAGAGTACCCGAATCAAAAATTTAAAAGAAGGGTTGGAAGAGCACAGTGCTCCCTGGGTTCAATCCCCAGCACTGCAAAATAAATAATTAGTTATTGTTTAAACATAGAAGTATAGGAGAGTGACGGGGAGCCGAGCAATCACTGGTACTGAGGTACTGAGTTACATAGTACTGTGTGTAAAATAAAGGTGGAAGAAAGGATTTTGAAAGTTTCACTATAAAGAAATGATTAAAGAAGAGATAGATGTGTTTGACTTGATTTAAATATTATACACTATGGCCACATATTGAAACATTACATGGTCTCTCTTGCTATGTATAATTGTTATATTTTTCTGTGTCAGTTAAGAATAAATTGAAAGAAGTAACAGAATCTGATAGCCTTAAAGCCAAGCTCTCCACTCCTTGCCTGTGCTTATTGAAGCTCTCCTAACTCTTCTCATCTGTGGAAAGGGCTTCATAGAAGGGCCTACCTTATAGAGGGTCATGAGAATTAAATAAGAGCAAAAATGTGGAATAATATACTTCCGTTAGAATTCGTATTTAAATGATGTGCTCAGTAACAGTCAGGTACTAGTACTATTACTGCCTTTTTTTCCCTGCTTGTCACTGTATGGGATGCATCGTGCTTGAGCTTTCCTGCTGAGTTTTCACACAGCCTGGTGAGGTATACAGATCACTCTTGCTAACCTCACAGGGACTCCGGTGAGGGGACATCTTTTGGGTCTCCCAGCCCGTGGGAGTGGGAGCTAAGAGTTGACTCACTACCCAGCTACTGGGGAGAGTGTCGAAATCCTTTCTCAGAACCCTGATCTCAGGCCCTATTGGGCCATTCTCCACCTTTGGGAACAAGCCCATTGAGACACTGTGGATCAATCTGAGGAGCCACAAGAGGCCTGAATGAGTCGGATGAAGTCGCAGTCCTGGCTAGGAAAGGAGTGCCTAGGGCTCCCACATGCCTGCCTTGACGGCTTGACTGATATCCCCTTGAGACAGCGGTCCCTTAGCCTCCTTCTGTGTCCACACCCACAGGAACTTTGATGAAGTCATCTCCTGCTTTGCCAATGTGCCCAAGGACATGCCAGTCTTCAGCAAGGCCTGCACCACCCTGTACTCTGACGAGGACAAGGTAAGCGTCTGAGCAACCCAGGAGCAAACCAGCAGAGGAGCCCCAGCCCTTCTATGCCCAGCCTTCATTTTTCTCTCACAGCACCTCCGAGAGGAGCCCATCCACATCCTGAACGTAGCTATCCAGTGTGCAGACCACCTGGAGGACGAGGCACTGGTGCCAATTTTCCGGACATTTGTACAATCCAAGGTACTTGGTGTGCTCTGGCACTGGGGGGAGTTGGCAGTCTTGTTCCTTTTTGTGTGGCTGTAACAAAATACCCGAGGCTGGGTGCTTTTATAAAGGGAAGAACTTTACTTAGGCCACAGTTTTGGAGGCTGCACTGGGCAACCACAACTAGTAAGAGGCTATGATGGCAGGTGGCATCACACAGTGGGAGTGCAGGTGAGAAATGACATGATGGGAAGGAAGCCAGACAGATGGGTGAGGCCAGGCTCACTGTTGTGTACAACTCACTTTCTCAAAACAAACCTGGTCCTGCTGAATTCAGGGCCCACAGTCTAATTCCCTCCCTTCAATGCTCCACCGCCTCAGTACTGTTACACTGGGGCATTCTACTTCATTGTGGGTTTGGGTGGCCACAACCAGGTTCTAATCACAGCAGGGGAGAGGTCTCTGAAGAAGGGTGGGGGCTGGTTTTGGTGTACTCGCCTTGCTCCTGAGCCTTGCTGCTGGGGTCCCTGACCTGCTGAGTGCTTCAGAGCCACAGACCTGGTGCCACCAACTGGTTCTGCCCATGTTCTAGGGCAGAGGTGGCTAAACATGAGAGAGCCTTGGTTTCTTCACCCATAACACAGAGCCAGCATCTCCTTTTCTCAGGCCATTGTAGTAATTAAGCAATTGAATATATACACACTTAGCTTGTCTTGGGCACAGAGGATATGCTCAGTAGTTTGGGGTTCTAGCAGGGAGCTTTGGGTTGGAATGTTGCAGAAACTGGCAGTCCTAAAATGGCCACTTGGATTGACCAGTAAGTGGGCAAATAACTACAGGTTGCTTTTGCAAGCATGGGGTGGCCATCCTCACAGGCTCTCCTGCTACAGTGTGGACCGCTGCTCAGGGGCCGCAGCTGCGGGTGAGGTGGTGCAGCACGGGGAGCTGGAGCACCCAGGCCACTGAGTGTGTGGGCTGTCTTCATCACCTGTATGACAAGGGCAGGTTACTTTCCCTCTCTGACCTTTCTTTCTCAGTCTATAATGTAGGAGGCTGAGATCTTAGCTCTTAAAGAAAGCAGAGCTGCCAGGTGTGCTGTTGGTTAACCTAGACTCTCATGATTTTGTCTTAATTTCAAGATCAGTGGAGAGGGCTGGGGAGATGGCTCAGTGAAATAAGCACTTCCCTGGGAAGCCCAAGGGCCTGAGCCCAATCCCTGATTCTGCAAAAAAAGATCAGTGGAGATTTTTCAGTTGCAGCTTTTTAAGCCTGCCTGTCGGCCTGTGTGCCTTATTCTCCATGTCATCTTGGTGGAAGGGTTAGTTACTCTTACCTCTATCCCACTTGATGCCCTTCAGAAGACCCAGCAGGTGCTTGGAGGGCAGGCATTGCTGGGAGAATGAATGGCACTGGGCTGGGTTAAGGCTGTGGCCATCTGACCATACGTAGAGTAGAGACCTAGGAGGGAAAGAGAAAAATGTTTGTTTTCATACTGAGGATCAAACCTAGGGGCACCCTCCCACTGGGCTACACCCATTTCATTTTAATGGCTGCATTTAGCCTTTTACTTTATTAATCATATTCACTGCAGAATTATCACTGCACGTTAATGATCTTAATCATTACTTAATTATGTTCATTGCAGAAAGTACTTAAGGTACAAATCTGAAAAGTACATTTTAAAACAAAACCCTAACCCTGCCCTGAGGGCCTGTCTCCTTATCTAGCCAATCTCGTCACTGGGTTTTTAGTTGTCATCCCACTTTCTAGGTACCAGGATGTGTGAGCTGCACATGGGTTCATCTGCCTCCTGACCATGTCAAACAGAGCGCACAATACTTGGGGGTTCTTACCCAGAGCCGTCGGTGGGGAGAGGTATCAGATCGCCTCCTGGATCTGTGGCCTGCGAGCAATTGTGCAGCGTGTGCAGCCGTGTCATGGGGTGCTGTATGGCTGTGAAAAGGAATGAAACAGCTTGTAAATACTGGTCCGGAGGGGTGGCTGTCAGATATAAGAGATTGAATATATATGTGCGTGAGTAGGTACTTTATATGTACATACTACATAGACAGGAGAGGAGAATGGGAAGAAAAAACTGCCTTCCGTTCTGTATTTCTGTATTATTAGAAATTTTTACATCAAGCACATGTGAATGTACATATTTGCACGCACACAACTCATGTACATGCATAGACACGTGCTTAGTTGAGAACCAGTAATCAGACAAATTTCCACATTGGGCTCTTCACTCTGCAGTTTTCCAGGCTACATCCTGCTACAGTGTTCTTTTGTTTGTGTGTATTTGTCTTTTTTAAATGTGTTTGGTACAGGGTCTCACTATGCAGCAGCTCGGACTCGTAGGGATCCTTCTGTTTTCAGCCTCCCCAGTGCTAGGATTACAGGCGTGTGCCACCCCGCCTGGACTCGGTCACTGGCTCTGTGCGCCCAGGGGCGGGGCCAGCACGGCATGTGGTTGTATTTGTCTTTTTGAAACAGGCCAACACTGTTTACTTCCTCTAATAATTTTTCCTCATCGTATTGACTAATCATTAACCCATTTTCTTATTTTCCCCAGTAAAACCTTATATAATACCATTGTGTTTATTCCACTTAGGGTGCAATTGAGAACAGTTTTATGTGGTTCTTTTTTTTTTCAGTACTGGGGATGGAGCCCAGCACTTGTGCATGACAGGTAGCTGCTCTACTGCTGAGTGACTTCTTCACTCAGTTTCATTCTATTCTTGCATAACTTTTTATTGAAGTCTGAAAGAAAGTGTCTGAATCGTGCATATATATATAGCTTGATGAGTTCTCACAGCGAGCAGGAGAGTATAATCCACATTTAGATCAGAAATGGATGTTCCTACCCTCCAATGAAGCTGCTGGTACCCCCTCCTTTACCACACCCAGAAATACCTGGCTGTATCCGTTCTTCAATTTTATACAAAAATGGAATTCTAGTTTGCATTATTTAGTGTTGAGTATTTTGCTCAAATTGTCCTCCTCCCCCTCCACAACTTTTTTGAGGTGTGATTAATGGGGGATGGTAGAGATTAAACTCCGCACCTTCACACTGGACTGCATCTCTGCCCCTTAAGGATTATGGTTATTTTAAATTTTGACAGAGTTTCACTAAACCTCAAAGTTTCTCTCACTGGGCTTGAACTTGGGATCCTTCTGCTTGACTCCCAAGGTGTGCCCTTCTTATGACAGCTTCATTGAGATGTCATCCACATACTGCACAACTCACTCCGAGTATACAGTTCAGTGCTTTTCTATATGTCTACCGGGTTTCACTGCCATCATTCCAGGAGGTTGTAGAACATTCTTCTGCCAAAACAATCTGTACCAAATTGACAGTTTTTTGCCATCATTCCCCAGACTAAAGCCCTCTCCCGCCTCAGCCTTAGGCAACCTCTGGTGTCCTTTCTCTTGCTCTAAATTTGCTCATTCTGGACATATCACACACAGGGACTCACACCCTGCAAGGTCTTTGGTAGCTGACTTCTTCCACCTACCATGTTTGCAGGTCATGTAGGGACATGTGTCAGTATACCTTTCGTTTTATAGACAAATAATATTCCATTGTGTCTTTGATTTTTAATGCAGAAAAATATTCTTGTGGATTATGGACTCCGAAGAATCACATTCCTGATTGCGCAAGAGGTGAGTACAGTTCTCAGTTTTTCTAGTGGGTCTTTCCCATTATCTAACCCCCTGGGGGTTGGCACTTATTTTGTAGATTGGAATAGAAGTGTTAGTTGCAAGAAAAGAGAACACTTTCAAATGGTTCATTCTAGAATAAGACTGAATTATCATTCACAATCACAAAATAAGTATAGAAATGTTTCGGTGAGCCTTGCTTGATTTAACCAATTTTTCTATGGATTTCTTTTTGCAGAAAGAATTTCCCAAGTTTTTCACATTCAGAGCAAGAGATGAGGTATGGCTGAAAGCAATGACACTGTTCTCTCCCCCCTGGCATTTTGGTATTCATGAGGGATATGTCCCCAGTTCTTCCGGCATTCTCCTTTTCTAGAACATGGTGACTAATATGTAGGCTCCAGCTGTCCCCTAGAATCACACTTTTTTGACTTCTAGTGTTTCCAGCACAGACACTCAGGATCCTGTCCTTTCTGCCTTCACCACAGGTTTCCCTCTTACTTGGGTAATTTTCGCATTTGCTGGTGTACACAGTAAGATGGTTTTACAAGTCCCCCTTTCTTACATTCTTTTAGATTAGAGGTCAGCAAACTATGACTGGTAGACCAGATGCCCGTTTTAGACATCAACATTTTATTTATTAGAACACAGTTACACCCACTTGATTACAAGTTGTCTACTGTGACTTCCCGCTGAAGTCACGAAATTAAGTCACTTGATCAAGGCTGTTTGGTTCATCATCTTGCGTCTGGCCCTTTGGGAAAACGTTTACTGATCTCTGTTGTGGAATAAGTGGGCTCATTCCCAGAACAAATTCAAGACCCTATTCCATTCAGAATTTTTATTTTAACTGACATTCATTTTGTCTCTCGCAGCTCCAACACCCTTAGTTTCTTCCTTTTGGGAACCACATTCAACTGAGAACCAGGGCTTAGGACATCTGGGGAAGGCTGTGCTGTGACACAGAGAATTGCCTATTGTCACTGGCCGGTGCTGGGGGCTGGCTGGACTGACCCAGGAGCTAGCCATGCCCCCACGACTCCATTCTCATGATGCCTGTGGCTGTCCTGATATCCCAGCAAAACCCAAATCTCTTGAGCTTGGGGTTACTTGCAGTTAGGTGCCATGGAAGCTGAAGGCACAGTACACCATGCAGGCATGTGGTGCAGGACCAAATCCCATAGGTGTATCTCAGTGTGTGTGTCTGTCATCCCTTTGGCTGGCCCACAGTTTGCAGAAGATCGCATTTACCGTCACTTGGAGCCTGCCCTGGCCTTCCAGCTGGAGCTCAGCCGGATGCGCAACTTTGACCTGACTGCTGTGCCCTGTGCCAACCACAAGATGCACCTTTACCTGGGTGCCACCAAGGTGCACGAAGGGGTGGAAGTGACAGACCACAGGTTCTTCATCCGTGCCATCATCAGGCACTCAGACCTGATTACAAAGGTGAGATATCCTGGAACACTTTGTTTTTTACTAATCCCACCCCCACCCCCCCGTGGGGATTAAACTGATCTCATTTTTTTCTACTTCAGTCAATGAGATGCTTTAGTAGGTTTCAATATTATTTAGCTGTGGTGAGGGCAAAGCTCAAGAGGCAGTTGCCGCTGGAAAGCTAGTTTGTTGGAGTTCCAAGAAAGGTCTCCATCCACCATGGGGTGCACAGTGGACACGGGTTGGTCAACAGACAGAAGAATGGAGAGAGACAGTGAGCAGGGACCCTTTCTATGGCTTGCAGAGGAAGGAAGGGGCAAGGCAGGGTGAGCAGGGTGGCCCTGGCTAGTTTAAATAGTTGTCATATCCCTGAGTATCAGGCTGGGCCTGGTTGTCTGGAACCTGGTCCTAGGGTGATGAGGGTGGGGACCTGGGGTAGAAGGGACCAGGGGTGAAGGAGAGAATGGAGTGAAGGTATTGGGTGGGTTGTGGGTGACAAGCATGCTCCTGGAGGAGTTGTTCACCGTGTCTCGGAACAGGTTGCCCTGGGGTGGCCAGTAGAAGAGGGGGAGGGTTTTCCTTTCCGAGAGGCTCTTTGCACGTAGGCAGAGTAGACGCTCGCCTGAAACACTGCCTCTTTGTCCTTGGCAGGAAGCTTCCTTTGAGTACCTTCAGAATGAGGGTGAGCGGCTACTCCTGGAGGCCATGGATGAGCTGGAGGTGGCGTTCAACAACACGAACGTGCGCACAGACTGCAACCATATCTTCCTCAACTTTGTGCCCACTGTCATCATGGACCCCTCCAAGGTTATACCCCCTGGGGGCTCTCCCTGGGTCTTGGGTTCAGCCACTTGCAGCCCTTCACACCATCCTGCCTTAGAGTGTTGTCTCCTGACCCTCAAGACCGGAGTTCCATGATGAATCCTTGTGCAGTGGAGGCTTGGTTGCTAAAGGAGGGAGGGGAGGAACCTTGTGCAGTGCAGCTCTATGGCTGTGTCTCAGCTGTCCCTGTGTGGGCTTGCCATACTCTAAGCGCAACATGCTTGCCCAGAATGTCTTGCAAAGTGGGGTTTTGTCTTCTCCCTGGTTCCAGATGCTGTTGGGGACTGTGTGTGAGTCGGGGAGGGGAGCAGCACCTCAGATCTGGCTGAGCTCCTGGTTGGCCACTTCTGCAGGAGCAGGCAGGTGTCTGCAATGGTGACTCTGGGGTGAGAGTAGCCAGAACACCAGTTTGGCTCTGTGGGGTACAGAGGCCCAGCTGGCTTCACTACTGCACATAGCTCCAGGAGAAAGTCACAGTCAAGCTTGAGAGGCATAGCAAGATGGGATGATGTAGGAGCACTGACTCCGCTACTTGTTGGCCTCTGTCTTTCTCTGTCAATGGGAGATAAGTGATGAATCTTAGTGCAAGAGCACTCACCTAGCACATGTAAGGCCTGGGGCTCAATCCCCAGAACTGCAAAGAAAGCAATACTCACCTTACACCGTAATTAACAGAAAGAAATGAAATGATGGGTTTCAAATGGGCTTAAATGCCTTCGGTCATTATTAGTGGATACTTCGTGTCGGATGCAAGATGCCAGCCATTCTGCGCTCAGTATAGCTCACCACCCCCCGGTATCAGTGCTATTGCCAGTGTGTGTGTGGCGTGGGCTCTAAACCTGGAATTTCTGTATTTGGGGACAGATTGAGGAGTCTGTGCGCTCCATGGTTATGCGCTATGGCAGCCGGTTGTGGAAACTCCGTGTGCTCCAGGCCGAGGTCAAGATCAACATACGGCCAACCACCACTGGCAGTGCCGTACCCATCCGCCTGTTTATCACAAATGAGTCGGGCTACTACCTGGACATCAGCCTCTACAAAGAAGTGACTGACCCTAGATCTGGAAACGTAAGGTGGAGTTGGGCCCCAGAGGTCTAAGGGAGAGCAGGGTAGCAAGATATAGATGAGATCGACCCTCGGTGCCTAATTTGCCTCACCCAGGGGGACTGCGGCAGCCCTGAGAGCTCTCAGTGAAAAGCTCCAGGCTCTGATGCCCTTCCAGCCTCTGGGTGCTGGCTGTTCATCCTCCAGGGTTTACTTCATCTTGTAGATGCTTGAATGGACACATGGCGTTCTGTGGGAGATCACAGCATAACCTCAGACGGGTCCACCTAGGGAAACACACTTTTTCCCCAATGGCATTTGTTAACTGATCATGCCTTCTTTTTATTGCCATTACTTTTATATGAATATGTAAATACATGTGTGTGTGTATATACATGTGTATATATATATGTGTGTGTATATATATGCATGCATAGGTACACAAGGCATGTTTTTTTTTCCTTTTCTTTATTTTGATACCAGGGATTGAACTCAGGACCTTGCACTCGCCAGGCCAGGCAGGTGCTTAAGCCATTAAGCTATCTCCCTGGCCCCAACAATTTGAAACAATTAGACTCAAGACACTTACGTTTAAAAAACAAAGTACCTGACAAAAATAGGGCAGAGTTCTAGCGTGTGCTTTATCCATTTTTTCCCGGTGATGAACTTTGCTGGACCATACTGTAGGTCCCAAACAGGAAGCTGACATTGGTGTAGTTGTGTTAACTCAAATACAGACCTTGTTCAGTGTGCAGGAATTTCTGCACACACTTTAGGGGTGTGCACCAGTGCAGATCATGGCACTCTTGGAGTTGTGTGTCCACATTTCCCACTGCCCTTCTTGTTCCAACGGCCTGCAGTGGCGAGGAGAACATCCGGTGTCTCGGGTATTTAGCGTGTAGGGATGCGCCAAGCCAGTGTGTTCTCACTGGGGAGAAGTGAGACTCTCCGGGGTCTTCCTCCCTTTGTGTTTTTCTTTTTTCCTGCTCCAGATCATGTTTCACTCCTTTGGCGACAAGCAAGGAAGCCTGCATGGGATGCTGATCAACACGCCCTATGTCACCAAGGATCTGCTTCAGGCCAAACGATTTCAGGCGCAGTCCCTGGGCACCACCTATGTGTACGACTTCCCGGAAATGTTCAGGCAGGCAAGTCCTGTGGCCCGGACACAGCACCACCTCTGGGTCCTTTCCCCTGACTTCCCCAGAGCTCCCCAGGAACTTGTCCTTAGTCACGCTGCTGAGACTCTGTCTAAAAAGAGCTACGTGAAGAGAACTAAATTAATACTAGGAATGACTTTGTGGTATTTTTGCCCAAAATAAACCTAATTTTATTCTAGCGATAGAAGTGGTATGATAGGGGATGGGGAGATGGCTCAGTAGAATAAGTGCTTGCCTGGCAAGCACAAGGGCCCGAGTTCAATCCCCAGTTCTGGAAAAAAAAAAAAAAAAAAAAAAAAAAAAGTGGTATGATATAGAAATGTTGGAAAATAAAGGAGGGAAACAGAAGAAAGCAACTCCAAATTCCATGTCCTGTGACAAGTTAATTAATAGTTGGATGTTTCCTTCTGGTCTCTTTAATGATCACTTCTTCACTTGAGGGCTGGCGTGACTATGAGAAACAGGAATCGCGGCTGCCTTTGAAGAGTTTTTAGTTTACTTTTAGAAAATGTTTAGGAGGCCAGCCAGGCATGGTGCCGTGCATCTGTGGTCCTAGGTGCTAGAGAGGCTGAGGAGGGAGTATGACTTGAGTCTAAGAGTTCAGGGCCAGACTGGACAACAGAGAGAAACCCCCATTTCAGGGGGAAGAAAAGAAAGGAAATAATGATGTGTTATATTTTTCCCTGATTATAAAAGTACTCATTGGAAAATTCAGACAAGTAGGGATAAGGGAATAAAATTTTACCCATATGTAATCCACTCATGATGGATGCTTACTAAGCATACTTTAGTGTGTTTCTTGTATTTTTTATTTTTTAAATAGAAAGGTTTTTAAAGGAGACTGAACCCACTGACAGGGGTAATGAGGGTATCTCTTCACATGTCCTCTGTTCCTCTGTAAGTGGACATCATGAATCTGAGGTCAGGTCACAGTAGGCAGGGAGTGTCTGTTTCTACTATTGCCTGTACCTCAGGCAGACAAGATAAACAAAGAAAGCAGAGCTGCTCTTAAGAGTCCCTCAGACTTGAGCCTGAATCCTAGATATGTCCTTTGCTTCCTGTTGTCCCCTGGTAGGTCCTTTGCCTTTGTAGGCCTCAGTTTCCTCCTCTATAAAATGATGACATAGACAACATATGTCTCAAGCTTGTTGGTGAAATATATATGTGGCATTCAGTAGGTGGATAACAAGCGGAAACTTTTGTAATTAGAATGTCATTGTCCAGATTCTTTTGCTTCTGATCTCAGAGGTCATAAATGAAGGAATGTGACTGAATCAGAAGGAAATCCATCCTTTTCGGTAAAGGACTGGAGCATGTATGTGTAACCTGTACAGTTGAACTTGGATGAGAGGGAAACAGAGTTAATGGAACTCTTCCAAGGGAAATAGCTCATCAAAACTAACTCAAGGGCCGGCCAAATAGCTCAGTGGATTAAAGCACCTGCAAGCAGATGCAGGGCTGGGGGTTTGATCCCAGGCCTGCCGTGCCAGCCCTGCCCCCAGGGCGTACTGAGACGGCAGTTGAGACTGGGCATGGTGGCACACACCTGTAATCCGAGCTCTTGGGAGGCTGTAAACATGTGGATCACTTTGAGTCTGATCTAGTAGTAAGACCCTGAACACCATGTAGACTCTTCCCTAAAATACAAAAAAAAACCCAAAACCAAAAAAACAAAAACTCAAGAATTAAAAAATCTGATCAAATATGTTTTTTTAAAAATAATTTTATTGAGAAGCAAATAGCAATGAGACAGTTTCAAAACCAATTACGAGCATAGTTTCAGTAATTAATACTTTGCATATTGTTGTCTTCATCAAATATAAGTATTAAAGTAACAGTTTAAAAAATGTGTCCGCTAAAGTTGGGACCGGGTAGTTTTAAAACAATTTCTGTTCAGTCATTAGGAATCACACTTGTAACCCCAGCCACACAGGAGGGTAGGCTGGAGGAAGGCAAACTAGAGGCCACCTGAGAAGCTTAGCAAAACTTTAGCTCCAAATAAATAGAAAAGGGTGGGTAGTGGGGCATGTGGCCTTGTGCTAGAGGGCTTGCCTAGCATGTATGAGGTTGAGGGTTCAATCCTAGTACCACAGAGTAGATAAAAACTTAAAGTACTGAAAAGAGCAGGGGATATGATTCAGTGCTCCTGGGCTCAACCCTAGTACTGGGAAAAGAGAGGGAGGAAGAAAGGGTTGCTTAATTTCTTTTTGTTATTGTTTGTTTATAAATTATTCTTAGAATAGAAAAAAAATGACTGCTTCTTAACACATTTTATCAAGTTATTACCTTAATATTATTCCCAGATAAAGACTTTAAGAAAAGAGAAATTTGCTGGTTCATTTATGAACAGAGACACAAAAATACTAAAATATTAGCAAATAACAGTTACTAATAATTTTTTCAGGGTTTAGGCTAGTAAGGCTTATCCTAGGACTTTTTAAAAAATGTATTTAGAACAGGGTCTCACTACACAGATTGAACTCATAGTGATCCTCCTGTTTTGAGTCTCCCAAGTGCTGGGATTACAGATGTGCGCCACCACACCCAGTCTCATTCACCACTTCAGCACATGGGGCCAGCATAGCAGGCCAGAGATTGAACCCCTGGCCCCTGTGTCTGCCTAAGCAGGCACTTTAATTTGCTGAGCTATCTGGTCAGCTCCCTATGACTTCTTACATATTATTTCATATTAGGAAGTTTATTCATATAATTTACCTTATTGTAGATTAGGAAAAAATTTCTCAATAAGTAAAAAAGTATTTGACAAAACAGCAGCTATTCCATAATAAAAATTTTAATAAAGTAGAACTAGAAAGACACTTGTGTCTTGATAAAATATATCAATCTAAAATTAACATTTAATGATGAAATAGTAAAAGTATTCTTTAAAGAAAAAGATAGAAATATCCATTATCACCCTTTCTGTTCTACATTCTTTACTCAAGTTCCTGGATAATGCAATAACAAGATAGGAAAAAAAATTATAAAGACTAAAAAGAAAAAAAGAAAAACTGTGTTTTACAGAAGATAGGTAAGAAATTCCAAGAGAATCCATGGAACCAATTAAAGATACAGCAAGGTTGCTAGACACCAAATTAATACACAGAAAAATCAATTGCATTCCCATACACCATCAGTAATTGTACTTGGGAAAAATGCCATTCACAAAATCAGTCTATCTTAGGAATAAGTCAAACAGAAAACACGGTAGAAAAATTTCCTTTATGGAGGAAATTATAAACCTTTATTGGAATACTTCAAGCATAAATAAGTGGGGAGCTGTACTATGTTAATGGATGATGGGATGTTTTAAATTGTGAAGATGTTATTTCTGTCCAAATTAGTAAGTTCTCTATGACTCCAGAAGTGCGTGCATTTTCTTTTTTCTTTCTTTCGTTCTTCCGTGAAACTTGAAAAGCTGATCTTTAAATTTTTACGGAAAAACAAAAACCTATGAATACAAAAAAATTAAAAAGAACAAAATCAGAAGGCTCATTGTAGCAGATGTCACAACTTATTTTGAAGCAGTAGTAAATAAGACACTGTAGTATTATCATGATGGATTGAGGCAAATAGACCAGGAGGACAGAATAGGGAGTCTACAACCTGACCCACTCATCAGGGAAGTAGAGGTGTGATTGTGAGGTGGGGAATGAGCTTTAGTAAAAGATTAGAGATTTTACTCTCAAATGAGAAAAAACAAATTTAGATTTCTACCTCATCTAATAAATCAAAAGTTTC